ATGGCCCCTGGGATTTATAAGAGGAAGAATGTTTATGAGCTTTTTTTTTTCCTTATTTTTTTTCTTATTTTTATTTTTTTATTAGTTGTTCAAAACATTATAAAGCTCATGATATATCATCTTTCATACATTTGACTCAATGTTTATGAGCTATTTGAGGGAAGTTTCCAGAGAGTTCTGTGGAAATAGGTCAGACCCCAGGGGATTAGGAGGGACCTGCAGTGAGGAAGTGGAGGTATTTTGAGAGGATGGCCATTTTCATAGTGGTGCTATGTTGTCCATCTGACATTATTAATATAACCTAGTGACACTTTGAACACTTTGTCACATAGCATTTAGACATGACATAAATGGGGGTGAAATACAACTGCTCAGAAGCTAGTGAACAAATAACTTGTCAGGATAAACCTGAATTAGTCCCTAGAGGAAGCAGGGAGAAAGTTCACTATTCTCAGGCAGATGGCTGCTATATATTTTTACATTCTTTTGCACAACTCCAAGATGAGATCATGAGATTTTACCTGTTATTTAAGGCAATGTCCCTCACCACCACATATTCAAACTTTTGGTTGTTATTAGTACACCAGCTCTTCCTATCCATGTGTTCCATACCTGTGGATGCAACCAAGTTTGGATAGAAATATTTGGAAAAGAACTGCAGCTATACCAAACATGGACAGATTTTTTTTTCTTGTCATTAATCCCCAGACAATGCATTGACATAGCATTATATTATGTTACTATTATTAGCAATCTAGAGATTATTGAAAATATATAGGAGGATGAGGGTAAGATATATGCAAATGCTATGCCATTTCATATGAGGAACTTAAGCATCTTGGAATTTTTGTATTTGCAGGGGTAGGGATGTCCTGAAACCAACCTCTCACAAATATGGGGGAATGACTGTCTTCCACAAAAATGCCAGCCTGGACTACTAAGTACACTTAAAGGTCCCATAATCATACCTTGTTATAATGCTGTTGACGGGGGCAAAAATAACAGTCAGTTAATGGTGGAACATGTTATAGCATCTAGGGTTAACTCAGGAACTCCAAAGTTAAATAGATCTCTGGTTTCTAATCCATGTTGTGCCTCTTGCTAGCTGTGTGTTATCCACCAAGCTGTCAACCTTTCTCAATTTTAGTGTTATCATCTGTAAGAGGAGGCTAATGACATGTACCTCATAGAAGAGTTGCACAAGATGATCCCGTAAAGCAGATATTTGCACATTTCCAGTCAACCGCAATGGTCAATAGTCACCTTGATAATAAGAAATAATCACTTTTGCAATATAAGAAAGTGTGTATCATAGTGGGTATGGATCTATGGTAGAGAGGAATTCTGACAAAGAGTATCACAATATTTTCAAAGCCAGTCATCCTTGAACAGGAAAAGCCAAAATTCTATTTACCTAAGATGAAACTGCTCCCAGAGGCAACAGATTTTAGCTTTTCCCTTAAACATTAGAACAGAGCTGGGTGTGGTGGTGCATGCCTATAATGCCAGTGGCTCAGGAGGCTGAGGCAGGAGGATGACAAGTTCAAAGCCAGCCTCAGCAACTCTTCGAGGCCCTAAGCAATTCAGCAAGACCCTGTTTCTGGATAAAATATTAGTGGCTCAGTAGTTAAGTACCCCTGGGTTTAATCCCTGGTACAAAAACAAAAAACTAGAACAGAAAGGAGATAAAAATTTATCTTGCTACTAGAGACTGACTCCTGCTTCATTGTTTTATTTTTCCCATTATTCCTGTGAATCCAAGTCTGTTTGGAAACAGCAGCAACAGGGAGTTCACTGAAAAACAAACTCTCTGCTTATGAAGATGCTATTCCCTGGAGACTAACTCAAGCTTTGAAATATAATCTCCATTTCCAGCTTTAGGAACTTTTTCTTCTAAGTCCCCTTCTTCAAAAGTAGCTATTGTTAAAAAAAAAGTAGCTATTGTTAAAAAAAAGTAGCTATTGTCTCACTAAAGAGCTATTGCAAGACAACCTGACAAATCAGTGTAAAAAGAAAATTTTAAACACAAATGAAATAGGCAAGTAGAGGTCATAATTTCTTCCACTAGAGGGCAACATTTGCTAAAATAAACATTAGCTATAGTCTCTCAGTCTCCTGAGGAGACTGGAAAACACACAGGTTTCTGGGCTGTGTTCCCTGGAAATTCCGAATCAGTAAAGAAAATGTATTGAAAATCCACTTTTTTTAAAGCTCTTCAACTTTGGGAACCACTGCTTTAAAGAGAAGTGAAAATAAGATCTTGCTATCTCCCTTTCTCCTGCCTCCCAGCATTGAGATCCTGCTATAATCCTTGCTGAAGCTAATGCATATATACATATATATTTCTTACCTTGGTGACAAAAGAGGGTTTATTTTATACTTAGACCATGACCTTGGCCTTAATTAGTGGATATTATTTAAATCCTGAAAGGTTATTTAGTGTCCATTTTCAGTGTTTTTGCTTGTTTTTGGAGTGAGGTCTGAACTCACTCCAAAGGTGAGGCATTCTGCCACTGAGCTACATACCCAGCTCTTTTAAATTTTTTTTTTTTTTGTACTGGGGATTGAACTCAGGGGCACTTGACTGATGGGCCACATCCCTGCCCTATTTTGTATTTTATTTAGAGAAAGGGTCCCACTCAGTTGCTTAGTGCCTTTGCTAAGGTTGGCTTTGAATTCGCAATCTTCCTGTCTCAGCCTCTGGAGTTGCTGGGATTGCAGGTGTGTGCCACCATGCCCAGTCCCTTTTTAAAATTTTGAGACAGGGTCTTGCTAAGTTGCTGGGACTAGCCTCAAACTTGGAATCCTCCTCCCTCAACTTCCCAAGTAGCTGGGATTACATCCAGCTCTGGTTTTGGGTCTTTTATAGGGGAAGGTACACTTCACAGGCATCTACAAAATATTTTCATTTCTGTTTTTATCAGTCATGCCAGCTTTTGTCTTGTCATAAGTAAAAAGCTGTCAAAAGCAGTATTTGACTAAAAAGCAAGATTATGGGCAACACCACCATAAATAAAACCAGTGCTTATCAGTCGAAACTGTCAATCAACGGAAGAAGTTCATGAAGCATGTGGCCTGGGTAAGCCTAAAAACCATTTTGTGGTGCATAAGCAATTTTGAGAACAWGTAACAGTGCAATTAAGGCCTGGGAATTTGATCCAACTAAATACAGGACAAATACTCCTACCTGGCCCAGGTTTCTTGGATGATTTTTGTTTGTTTCCAGGATCTTTAAAACTGATTTATGAGTCAGATTGAGGTCAGCATACCCCTTTGTGTTTCATCTGCAGCATTTACAGGGTCATAGTGACATTTTGAATTGTCAAAGGTCTGCTAGGGTTTCAGCACAGCAAGTTCTCCTCCCAGACTTACTCTACTGTTTGAGAAAATACACTGAAGAAGGGATGTGAAAGCCAAGCTTTTCAGTTAAGCTCCTCCTCTTCTTCTTCTTCTCCTTCTCCTTCTTCAACTCAAGCACATGTCTAATAGATCTTGTTGTCACTTTGTGATCTGTCCAGGTAGTCATGAAAGAGCTCCTCCCTGGCTACCTGGCTACAGGAATGCTGAGGCTGTTTTGCCAACTTCTCTCTGCCCATCTCAAACCTCTCTGTTTGCATGTAGACATGTCAGTGACACTTCTCAAAATGTCTCTCCTGCTTTCACAGTTGCTAAATTTGTCTCTTAAACTGATGTGTTGCTTTCTCCAGCCGGGATAGGATTAGTCTATTAGCTGTGATTCAAGTTAGGGGTTGGGAATGGGGAAACTTTACAGGATTTGGGCTTCCTGTGAGCATTTCTGTCTGTTATAGTTGGGTGGGTTGACCCACAATGCACACAGACCAGCCACTTGGCCATGCCTCTGCTACTCCTTTGCAATTTTTTTCTAACATTGCTTACTTCCCCGCTCCCTCTAAATCTGAAATATCTTAAGTCTGTCATCTGAGCAAGTTAGGAAAAATAAAAAAAATTGTACCTTTTCTTGCTTTCCTAAGATTTGTACTTCAAATCTTATTACAAGTAATATGTCCTTCTCAGTGGAAGGCAGTTTGGGACCTAGTGACCAAGCAGCTGCTGGGCGCTTTAATTCTGATTAATAGCCCACAACCCTCAACTAGACTGGTAGGAGTCCTCAACCCACACACTCCCTGCAATGAGCTGTGACACAAATCATCTCAAGCTTCATGAGGTCAAGCTTCACAAGGTTACACGTATACAAACGTCCCATTAACAAACACACAAGACTCAAGTATCCCAAATAGTTTTCTTCCTATAATTTTTAGGGAATGACTTGGCCATGGTTCATTCCAAAGGGAACTGATGGCTGCTGGACTCAATTTGAGGGGAATTCCTGAGGGTAAAGAAAGGGAAGAAAGAAAGAAAGCCCCAATAAATGGGCCTTTTTCCGGCTGGATGGGGCACAGCAGGAGGGCCTCTGCAGTGAACTGTGCGACTGTAGGTAGGGCAGAAGCGGTGCTTGCTGGAATCCCCTGCCAGCAATTCTTCCACAACAGGGGGAAGACCAAGAGTAGGCTTCTGGGTACACTGGGCGGCCGGTGTCCCGGGCTTTCCCCTGATGAGATCTGACGCCGCGGGTCCCTAGGCAGGGTTAGGGGGTCGCCTGGAGGACGGGGCGTTGTCGGGTTCTCCAGCCTTCAGACAAGCTTCTCGCCTCAATAGCCGGGCCCTCCTAACGCCGGACGCCAAGAGTCGATCCTTCTCATCAACAGCAGTGGCCCAAAGGACCAGAGCCCTCCAGAATCTCGCTCCGCCCTCAGCCCCGCCTTTCGGTTTAGCCACGCCCAGACCCCCGCCCCAGCCTACATTCGACCCGCCCCTCCGGGCAGCGGGCCCGCCCCTGGTTAGGCCCCGCCCAGGCCCCGCCCCTCGAGCCCGCCCCGACCGGAAGAAGTGGCGGCACCCGGCGCTTATAGGGCCCGGAATGGGGGTGCCGCCGCCGCCTAGTCAGCTCTGCGTCCGCTGTGGCTCGGCCGCTGCCGCGCTGTCGTCGCGGCGCCCCCGCCCAGTCCTCCGTCCGCACCGCCCCTGGAGCCGGCCGGCCGGGCCMGGAGCCAGGGCCCAGTCCCCGCCATGCCGGCCCGGCGGCTGTTGCTGCTGCTGCTGGCGCTGCTGTTGCCCGGCTCCAGGGTAAGTGACCAGGGATCGCGGGATGGGGACAGCCCGCGGCGAACCGGGCTGTGACCGGGGGAGGGTCGCGCGGTCGCTGGGGCTGGAATCCGAGCCGAGGTACGGCGGTGGCCTGAGGCCGTGCGCCCAGCAGAGTCGTGGACCGGGCGTGGGAGGCGGCGCCGGGCCGCGAGCGACTTCCCGGCCGGAGTCGTGGCCGGCAGTGGCCACGCTGAGGAGTCCGCCACCCGAGGGGCCTCTGGGGCCAGCGCGGCTGTCAGTGGCAGCGGCTCGCGGGGCCGGGTGGGCTGGGGCGAACTTCGTGCAGTCTCCCGCAGGCCCGGGGCCCCAGCAGGCTGCCCACCTGCCGGACCCTCCCCACAGGTGGGCGACGGCTCTGCCTGGCGATGGCCGCGGAAGGACGGAAAAGGGCCCTGTAATCGAGGGGAAGGGAATGACTTGAGTTTCGAATCCTTGTTTGAACTTTTTAAAAATGCGACTTTGGGAAGCGAATGCAGCAAGCGAATGGGGAAGCATTTTTACCCAAGGGCTGGATTCTGCTTACCTGCCCTTCAGGTTTCTTAGCGTTCGGAGGTAGGAGGCTTCCTTTTGTGCGCCAAGGCTTCATTAAGCAAATTAAGCTGTGGGAATTGGACTGTTTTACGATCCCCCCATGGGCCAGAGGTGAAGCCACTTCAAAAGTTTGTATACCAAAAACTGTCTCCTCACGTGAGAGCACTGTGGGTTCATCAGAAAGGTCCTCTCATTTTTTTTTTTTTTTTCTGGAGAAGAATGACAGGGCCCAAGTTTATGTTTATTTAATTATTTACGACCTTCACCTAGTCTGTGGACATGGGCACCGTGACTGAGGAGGACATTTTGTGGGCAGATTTGGTTTTATACCAGTGAGTGCCTTTTAAAAAACGTATTGTTCAGGATGTGGGTATGGCACATTTGTACAGGTTCTGTTTAATGACCTCTTTGAAGGTACCGTGTTCCCTTTAATATGGCATATCATGTACCAGGTGTCCAGATGGAGAATTGACTTGTGTCGCCCTGCGGGCCAGCCAGAGTGAACTCTTTGAACTCTCATGCATTTTAGGTAAATAATTGTGCTCTTGGAGTAACAAGAATTTGGAAACTGCCCAAGTAATAAATAAGGTCACCTTTTTCAAATTCAGGTTTCTTTAAAAGGAAAATTGGTATACACTTTCTTCTTGATAAAACTTTGATAAGTTAAGGTGTTTTTTTTTTTAATAAATAGAAAAATCCACTTTCACAACTCAGAGCTAGGGACAGGGTTTGAACTTGAACACTGCACCTTGAGTTTATTGGCAGATTATTGTTCACAAATACGAGTACAAACAGTGATCAAACATATAATGTGGAAATCGATCATCTCATATTGTCAGAACCCAGGTGTATGTAGTTTCTTTTCCCACATCTTTGCATTTGCTATTTTTTTCTAGATTGTAGTGTTTTAGTTATGGAGTGACTTAAGATTAAGAAGCCAATAATAACTATTTAGCTTTAGTCAGGGCTACAGTTTGTTCATGTAAATATTTCCAAATTGTATTTAGAAATCCAAACTTCTCAGGGTTCATGGTAAAATATTTCAGGCCCTTATCAAAAGGTTATGTTTCACTATTACTGCTTGGTGAAAGGTCAGGATGACACTCCCAGAATTTTATTGCAGTAAAAGTTTTGACCCCTCAAACGTAGTATTAAAATTCTAAGTGAAATTTCTAGGAGGTTGTACTTAAACTAGGTAGTAGTTATGTTGTACAGAACACAGTGGCTGTAAAAACAAACCTGAGTTCTAAGTGATCACTTGCTTGCTGTGCCCTCAGGTAAGTTATTTTACTTTTTAGGAATTCAGTTTCTTGATTTATGAAATAATCATAGCTAATGTGTGAAAGAAGGCGCCTTGTACCTAGCAGATAATAAATGTCCGTTCTCTTTCTTTCCCTATCTTTTTTTTTTTTTTTTTGTACTGGGGATTGAAAGCAGGAGTGGTTTACCACTGAGCTATATCCCCAGCCCTTTTTATATTTTATTTTGAGATAGGGCCTCACTTAATTGCTGAGACTGGCCTTGAACTTCCAATTCTCTTGCCTCAGCCTCCCAAGTCATTGGGATTACAAGTGTGCACCATCATGCCCTGTTGAAGTCATCACTTTTTTTTTTTTTTAAATATTTATTTACTTATTTAGTTAGTTAGTTTTTAGCGGACACAACATCTTTGTTGGTATGTGGTGCTGAGGATCGAACCCAGGCTGCACACATGCCAGGCGAGCGCACTACCGCTTGAGCCACATCCCCAGCCCCAAAGTCATCACTTTTTGATGTTATGCTATGGCTCTGCAGGAAAGGTTTTTAAAATAATATTTCTTTTTGATTGATGAAGTAACTCATATATTGGAAGCAATACTGCCTGTGATTTTTCTTTCAGTGTATGTCTAATTGAGACAGGCATTAATTAATTATTGGTTGAGACTCAAGACTATCAGATCCCAAATTGCAACAATGTTGGTATTATAAAGCACTTGAGACTGTCTCCCCCCCCTTTCTTTCTAGATCCTTATCTTGTACCTGGTATTGGTAGTTTCACATCATCACTGTCGTAGTTCTCATTTTATGGTGTTTAGGTGCCATTTTTCTTAGTTACTAAAAAGATTGGTAACATGTGAAGCCAAATACTTTCTAGTTAAAATATATCAAATTTATTTAGYCTGCATTTTGGTTTTGAGATGGGGTAAAAGAAGTCACTGAGAACTAAGGACCTGTAAACAGAAGCACAGTGTGCATCTGAGAGATGAGTCTTAACTAGAAATGTCCCTGCTTATCATTTATTCTGATAGCTATCGTCTGCATGAATTATCCTAATAGGCAGGACTGAGCTATTTATACTGTGGCCATGAGTAGAATGTTCCATTAGTTTAATTAGTTTATGTTATTAGGACTGTGGATCATGAAATTAAACTGTAGTTGTGTACACTCATTTGCGCAAGCCACTCATCTTTCTGCCATAGTATAGCTTTTCAGAGCATAAGAGAAATTGTGTCTGAGAGTTACTCTTAAGAAAGTTTGATGATAAACCATATTCTTGAATATAAATCCAGTGAGCTACATAAAGATTTCTTCATGTTGCCTGGATAGAATAGTATCGCTTATGTGGGCTAGGGAATGTGGTTATTTGCTTGCCTTGGGTTTTTTATTCCATTTTTTCAGGATGAAGAATCATTGGATAATTTATGTTATTTTCATTGGAATCCTCTTTGGTTTTAAGATCCAAAGTAATCTGTATATCCAATATTTTGATTGTTTTATAATGATCAAACATTCTCCTTAAAGAAATGATATAGAGGAGAAAAGCCTAATGTGCCTTTTTAATGGATTCGTTTTTGTTGTTATTATTGTTGTTGTTGTTCTAATTAGTTATACATGACAGCAGAATGCACTTTGATTCATTGTACACAAACTTTTCATTTCTCTGGTTGTACACAATGTAAAGTCATACCATTCGTGCAATCATACATGTACCTAGGGTAATGATGACCTTCTCATATGGATTTGGTTTTTATTATTTCAATGTAAAGTAATACCATTCGTGCAATCATACATGTACCTAGGGTAATGATGACCTTCTCATATGGATTTGGTTTTTATTATTTTCAAATAACTTGGGGGCCTGTTACCTAGCAATATGATTAGAGTATGATGCTGGCTTATAAAAAAATAGGGATGATGAATCATAGTCTGTGAATAATAAACATGCTGGTTGGATATATTTCCCAGAAGCTGAGAATTGTTTCCTATCTTTATCTTTTCCATATTCAATGTTTGGCATTAGACTTCCCTACCTCAGAGCAACATAGCACTGAGATATTCAAATGAGTACACAGACCAGATATAGACTGGGAAAAGTAGAACTTCAATAATAATCAGGGCTGGGGATGTGGCGAAGTGATAGAGTGCTTGTCCAGCTTGAGTAAGGCCCGGAGTTCTAGCAACACACACACACAATTATAATAATAATCATGAGGTCATTGGTTACATTTCCTTTTTWAAAATTTTAAGTTAGTTTTAGGCTCTTTATCATTTCTTATTATCTGTGATCTTGTTCACATACAAATAAAAGTATGTGTTCTCTCTCTCTCTCTCTCTCTCTCTCTCTCTCTCTCTCTCTCTCTCTCTTTTTTGTTGTTGTTCCAGAATGTTTCCTATAACATTCTAGAATTAGGTCATACATTTGTAGCTTTGGTAGCACCTTTGTAAACCATCATCAGTGTAAAAGCATTTGAGCTTCTGTGCCCAGCCACAGGTTGGCGAATGGGATCCTAACTGATTGGGATTGATGTGATAATAAGCCATGATGCTTTGCTGAGCATTTGCCCTGAGGGGGTCATAAGGATTGTGAACAGTTTTCCACTATTATAAAGAAAGTTGTACTTCCTTTTTATTTTCAAAAAATTTTGTATGTTTGGTGTTTTCTTTATGATAACATGGGAAGATTTAAAAAAAATCTTTCAAAGTAATCATATTCAGTGTAGAAAAATCAGACAGGATGGATAAGCCTACATTAAACAAAACAAAAACCCCCCTAGAGTTCTACTACCCAAACATAGCCTCTGTTAGTATTTTCAACAACTTTATGGAGACATTGTTCAACTGTCATCACAATTCACTCATTTAAAATGTTTCAATCAGTGGCTTTTTTAATACATTCACAGAATTGTACAGCCATCACCACAATCTATTTTAGAACATTGTCATCATCCCAGAAACTCTGCCCAGTAGCTCCCAATCCGCTTTCCCCCTCAAATCTCCTATTCTCTGGTAAGCACTAAACTCTTTCTTTCTGTCTCTATACATTAACCTATTATGACATTTCATAAGAATGGAATCATACAATATATGGTCTTTTATAACTGACTTTCATCTAGCATTAGGTTCTTAAGGCTCATCCATGTTGTAGCACGTGCCAGTACTTAATTCCTTTTTTTTTTTAAGTTTACTGT